AATTAGAGGAAAAACAGTCCAAGATATGATGGACCTAGTCATACGGAAATGCAAGGAGGCTGAAGAGAGATTTATACCAACAGTAAAGAAAAAAGTAAGAGGGAATATAATAACCCATGGTTTAATAGACAGTGTCAGGAAGCAAAAATGAGAAGCAGGAGGGAGTGGAGGAAGTACAGAAGACAAACGCCAGAGAACAACAAGATCAGATGCAACAGCTAGGAACGATTACATAAACATAAGAAGAGCATGGGGAAGAAATTATGAGAGCGATATTGCGTTCAAATGAAAAAGGAACCTAAATTACTACACAGCCATACAAGGAGAAAAATGTCGGTGAACGACCAAGTGACAAGACTAAGGAAGACAGAGGGGGCATATACTGAAAGTGACAAGGAAATCTGCGAGGCACTGAATGCCAGTTTCCATGGAGTGTTCACAACCGAGCCTGAGCAGCTCCCATTGTTAGAAGAGATTATCCTAGATGAAAGACTATCAGATATAGAGGTGACAGCAGAGGAGTTAATGAAACAGTTGACAACACTGGATGCAGCTAAAGCGGTTGGGCCAGACAAAGTATCACCGTGGATACTAAAAGAGGTAGGCAGGCCCTCAGCGTGCCTCTGGCAAGGATCTTTAATGAATCACTTATGTCGGGAGAATTGCCCAATTGCTGGAAGAGGGCAAATGTTGTACCGATTTTCAAGAAAGGTGATAGGGAGGAGGCACTTTACTATAGACCTGTATCACTGACAAGCATCCCCTGTAAAATACTTGAAAGAATAATTAGGCTAAGACTTGTTGAGCACCTAGAGAACATTAGGTTTGTAAACAAACATCAACATGGGTTCTGGAAAGGGAAATCTTGCCTAACAAATCTTTTGAAATTCTATGATAAACTAACGTTGATAAGGCAGGATAGAGAAGTTTGGCAGACTGCATATTTCTGGACTGCCAAAAAGCCTTTGATACAGTACCGCACGTGAGACTGCTATACAAACTTAAGAGACAGGCGGGAGTGAGCGGAAAGGCCCTAGCATGGGTAAGGAACTACCTAACAGGAAGGATCCAGAGAGTTACGGTAAGGGGCGAGAAGTCGGACTGGCGAACAGTAATGAGTGCAGTACCTCAAGGATCGGTGCTGGGACCAATTCTATTTCTAATATACGTTAACGATATGTTTACAGGAGTAGAATGCTACATGTCGATGTTCGCGGATGATACAAAGTTGATGAGAAGAGTTGTGACAGATGAGGATTGCAGGATCCTCCAAGAGGACTTGAACAGGTTGCAGAGATAGTCAGAGAAATGGCTACTGGACTTCTACAAGAGCAAATGTAAAGTTATGGAAATGGGATTAGATGCTAGGAGACCAAAGGGACAGTACACATTGGAGGGGGAGCTGCCTACCTGTGACGACGCGAGAAAGAGACCTGGGCGTGGATGTAACACCTAATCTAACTCCTGAGGCACATATGAATAAGATATCGATAGCAGCGTACTTTACACTGGCAAAAGTTAGAACATCATTCAGAAACCTAAGTAAGGAGGCATTTAGGGCACTTTACACTGCCTACGTGAGGCCAGTCTTAAAGTATGCCGCCCCATCATGGAGTCCCCACCTGAAGAAACACATAAGGTAACTGGAAAAGGTTCAGAAGTTTGAAACGAGACTCGTCCCAGCATTACGAGGGATGGGGTATGAAGAGCGCCTGAAGGAATTGAGCCTTACGCCATTAGAAAAAAGAAGGGAGAGGGGGGGATATGATAAGAATGTATAAAATACTCAGGGGGATTGACAGAGTGGACATAGACGAAATGTTCACACGGAATAGTAACATAACGAGGGGACATGGGTGGAAGCTGGAAACTCAGATGAGTCCCAGAGATTAAATTTTGCCCCGAGGGGCGAGTTTATTGGGCAGCGCCACTCATCTTGTGAGTGAACATACCGCCATAGCAGAATGTACAACACTCCTCAATAGGAAGAAAACCCGCTGGGTTGTTCATCCTGTAAGGTAGTCCCAGAGATGTTAGGAATTTTCTTATAGCGTGAGAGTAGTGGAAAAATGGAATGCACTTAAGGAACAGGTTGTGGAAGCAAATACTATTCATAATTTTAAAACTAGGTATGATAGGGAAACCAGGTCCGGACAACTTATAAATGCTATAAACAACCGATGGCTCGATAGGCGGGATCCAAGAGTCAGTGCTCGATTCTGCAGACACAAATAGGTGAGTACACACACTCTTTGCATATCCTTGCCTATATCGAGGTCCCCCTCCCCCCCCCCCTCCCTGGGTTGAACAACTGACTCCCAGGATGCAACCCCACAACAAGCTGACTTTAGCTCCTGGGTACCTAGTTACTGCTTGGTGAACAGTGCCATTAGGTGCTAGGAAACGTGCCCAACCATTTCTGTTCCGCCCGGGATTCGAACCTGGAATTCCCGACTGTCAGGCGAGAACGAACCCGACTGTGTAGTTTAGATGGTAAGTGATGAAGACCGTGTGTAGTGTTGATGTCCCTCATCTTTTCTTTTGTCCAATGATCCTTTTAGTTCCTCAATGTCCTTTTCCTCCTCTTTTTTTCCCCCTGCTTCCCCACCTCTCCTCCTTCTCTCAGAAAATGTATTATTAAAAAGCACTGATACAACTGTATCTTTGAAAATTTATTATTACGATCACTAAATACTTCAGGGAATCACGCCAAATATCTCCCATTTGATTGAAAATCTCCTGGGCGGCTCTATAAATACAAGTATTTCTTAAAGTATTTTAGGCCTACTAGTCTAACTTAACTTTAACTGGCTAGCCCATGTCCGTCCTGTACCCTAGACCATTCCCCTTGCAAAGCTAGCCCCAAGCATCTGGCCTCCATCCTTGCATAGACGAACAGTCATTCTGTATTTTGAGTTATGCCCGAAACGCTATACGTAATAATTAATGGTTTAATTAATTAAAAACCTATACAAATATGTTAACTACTGAGTAACAACTCTAATGTGATCCTCTGTGTTTTATAAATAAAATATTATTATTATTATTATTATTATTATCATTATTAAAGCTCTTTTGCAGTAAATTTTCTCCATTTAATATTTTGTATGATATATTTTCACTGATCGGTATACAAAATAATAATTATGATAATTACTGTTATATACTTGAACATACATTTTAGCAGATTTATCTCATTATATACCCTTTTAATAGTCAAGAACTATCCATCAAATAACATAAATATTAAAGTTACACGCAATATATGTTCACTGAAACTTGCCCAATAGTACCTTATATCTTATTGAATCTATACCTGGTATCTTTGTGTTTATTGTAGAAACGAAATAGCTCAGTGTTCTTAATTATTCAAATATATCCTACTAAAATTCTCATTGTAAATTTGTTTATGAAATTTTACACAATTTACCATAAATATATACAATAACATACTAGAGGAAGGGATTCAGTTCCTAATCCAGTTATGTGACTACATAACCGCTACCACGGGCGACCACACGATGGGTATAATGGGCGCATTATTAAGTAGACCTGCTGTATGGGTGACAGCTTCTCCCCCGTATCAACCTACCCTGGCTTTACGCCCTGGAGAGGCCACTCCAGACCGACAACCAGAGCGTAACTCCATAGTCTCCTGAGACTGATGGATGCCTACTATTAAGTAGATCAACACCTTTGACCACCCACCAGGTCACCTTCACACCTGGGTCGTACTGATTTATGAACGATCTTTAAGTTTCTCGATTTCATTTCAGTGTATCTGAATTGCCACTGGCAACGGAAGCTTATTTTGAGACGCTCAACGACTTTTCCATAGATAATGACGATCGTGCTCAGCCATCAGCTGAAATAAATCTGAGAAATCATGTGGGTGCGAAGCCATAGATACTGTTTATATACATTTTTCAGCGTGATTCACGACACGACATGGTGATTACTGAGTAGAAGACATATATTGGTCTGTGTTGGCGGAAATTAACGACACAAAACGTGAATTCGTGTATTTCAACACCGCGCTCGCTCTTGTCAGTACTGATGAGTAAAGGGGGGACACGGAATTGTCAAATATGAGTGAGAGAATGAGAGAGAGAGAGAGAGAGAGAGAGAGAGAGAGAGAGAGAGAGAGAGAGAGAGAGAGAGAGAGAGAGAGAGAGAGAGAGAGAGAGAGAGAGACAGAGACAGAGACAGAGACAGAGACAGAGACAGAGACAGAGACAGAGACAGAGACAGACAGACAGACAGACAGACAGACAGACAGACAGACAGACAGACAGACAGACAGAGAGAGAGAATAAAAGTTATCTAAAATAATGACATATGATAAGGAAAGCAAGTTAGTTTAGTTCATTTATAATGCACCCCATACCCATCTTGTGGGCGGTAGTGGAAAGGGTTACAGAGGCACATAATGGGCTCAGGGACTGAACCCCACAATTCATTTAGCTAAGCAAGTTACAATCTTGATGAGCTAGTTGCAAAATTCAATACACATGCAAGAAAATGTAAAAACCCAATAAAGCAGAAGAGAGGGAGAGGGAGGAGAGGAATTACCTGGAGGTGGGACCTGGGGGCCAGCGTCGAGGGGAGTGACGTGGAGACATAAACAACTGTAAACAACTGTCAACATGTGGTCTCCACGACTGCAGTGCGTCAGTCATGTGTGTCGACTCACCTAACTCTACCTTGTAGGGTCGAGTGCTAGATCCTGAGCCCCCTATTCCCAGCCTAATTTTTTTTTTTAATTTTGCCCCGAGGGGCGAGTTTATTGGGCAGCGTCACTCATCCTGTGAGTGGACACACCGCCATAGCAGCATGCACAACACTCCCCAATAGGAAGAAAACCCGCTGGGTTGTTCATCCTGTCACTTGTACCCCAGACATAGCTGGGACTTGCTTAACTGTCTCAAGTGAACAGCTTCTCAAACAAGAAGATTAATATTGTCAACCCTTAAATTCTTACGTTATCTTGCAAGTGCAAAATGGGGAAATCTCTTAAGAACCAGTCACGGCCTTTCAAAGTGGCAAGGTATGAATCTTATTTGTTTGACTTCTTACATTTTATTGTAGTTTAGTCCATCATATACTGTGTTGTTTTAATCCTGGACTGTCTCCCACTGTATCCCATTTACAAATTCCTTATTTTATGGCACTTTCCGTTTCAATTCGCCAGTCTCCCTCTCCCACACCCTTCCCAGTGGTCACTTGCTTCCAGTGGCATTTCATAAATGTTTTGATTGTTTCAAGCTGTGTGAACATCAGATCTACTCCTGCTGGTAATTTTGCCATCGTGTTGTTTCCTCTCAAGCTTGAAGTGTCAGGAAGTTTCTCACTACTACCCCCTACCAGCGTAGACTTCAATGTCTCTTCTCACGAGGGTACATCATTTCCCAGTTAATTAAGTCTTGGTTTGGTTGTTTTCTACGACAGCTTGTAGAATATCTAACAGAGACTTACTTGCCTTATCATGCACCTATGTAGGTCACCTGGTGTTCTCTCCAAGATTCTAGATCAGACACCTCTTATTCATCACCGCCAATTGGTATTATTTATGTGACAGTAATTATACAATTTTCTAGGACAATGGGAAGTTCCTCATCGCTACTAGTCCTTTTGATCAGTAATACATCTCCCCTTCCATTCCTCTGGGCTCTTTCTCTCCTTGATCACTGTTTAGTACTCAATAGAGAATATTCCGTTTTGCTGTCTTTCCAGTTACTATATTACCTGCCATTATTATTACGTGCGTGACCATATTTCCAAATCTTCCATTCACTTAATCTATCCGACGTGTCAGTCAATTAACATTGATAAATCAGAATTTTAGGCTCACCATCTACACTCGCCTCCCTCCCGGGCCGCCTTCGGCCCAGGTGGGAGGGGAAGGGATGGTTTGGTTGGTATCAGTATGATCCGGGATTTGCTTGGGTTGGCTGGTAGAACAATCAGCAGATGGTATGGACAGGTCAATGGTGGTATTGTTGAATAAGGTACTGGTAGGCGTGGGAGGTTTCCTGGGCTTAGGTTTACCGTTTGTGGGGTCTCTACTCGACCTCGTTTCCCACCCCCCTGCCACTGTACAGGGAAACTCACCTGATAACCCACCTGTTCCGGGCACCTAGGATGGTTAGGTACGCCGGGGGTATCATCATGTAGAATTATCCAGAGAGGTCTACCTGAAAAACCGTCTTGTCCCGGGGACCTAGGTTGGTTAGGCACGTCGGGAGCAACATCAGTGGAGTTTTTTGCTGAAACCGGTCGGCTGGGTCCATGGGGTGTTTTATACCTTAGGATCTCACCAGTTTGGAGGTCCACATAAGACTAGGTAATAGGGTTCTTACCTTACGCCGTTTTGAGTATGTGTTATCCGTCACTGGGGTATGGGGGCACCTCTGTGCTGTGTAGTCCTGGGTGCGTTTTATGTATAGGCCGGACCTGTAGACACTCCACCGTGGAATCTGAAAAGCACTGTGTTAGAACATGAGTACATGAGCACTGTACTGTGTGGGTGAACGGGGTCGTGTTTACCTTGTAGTTGCAGGTTGTCTCGTGTGATGGCGCCTCAGGTCCACTACCTGAGGTTTTGACACACGGGGGTCCGTATTATTCGGGACCGTGTTCAGTGCTTTTTGCGAAACCTGGACGGTGCGGGTTTTAACCCGTCTGCAGTCCTAATGTGGTAGTTCCGGGAAAACTGCTGCTTGGCTACTCTGCCGCTCGTTAGTATTTCCGAGAATCACTCCGTCTCTCGTTAAGTGGGGGAGAAACGGGGCTCCTCTCATTTTTCTCCGATGGTTTTTGGTCAGCCAGTTACCTGTTTGGGAGACACTCAAAAAAGGAACAAGATACATGGGGGAAAAAGAATATTTGGTGAAAAGAAAGCCTTGGATTGTTTATATGGGTCCGGGGCTAAGTCTCTCTCACTCCACTTTTTCGTCCGGTGTTTCCTGGGAGTTCTAGATTTTAATACCTGGCTGAACCAAGAGTGTTAGTCACTGACTGTCCCCCCGGACCACTGAGGTCCGGGGAGTCAGCAGGACGACCGGTGACAGTCGACTGTTTCGTGGGGCTGTATGCCCGCTACTCCTCAGTCCGATCCGAAAGGTTCTGCTGAGTTTTTGAGTCATTGGCCAATCGATCTACAAAGTCATTTTTTCCAACTCTAATATGGGATGGGATCCACACAAATTTTATACAAGAGTTATTATCATTGGCAAAAATTACATTTCATTTAATATTACGAGCTACTTCCGACATACATTGTGATGGGTTATTTAAGGACTGCAGAGCACTTTTAGAGTCACAGAAAATAACTCCACCACCATTGAGCTTAAGGTATTCAGTGGCTAGATAAATACCCAATAGCTCGGTCTGTGTCGTGCTTGCCCAGATGTTCAATCTCTGTGTACTAGTCATGATCATTTCATTCCCTTTATACACTGCACATGCACAACCTGTTCTACCAGTGCCTAACTGCACAGAACCATCAGTAAAGGCATAAGATTCAGTCGGTTTGAGAATTTGAAGATGACTGTCAGTAGCTTCTAATGTTATACATCTCAAAATGTCAGTGTTATCTTGAGGTTATCTTGAGATGATTTCGGGGCTTTAGTGTCCCCGCGGCCCGGTCCTCGACCAGGCCTCCAGCCCCAGGAAGCAGCCCGTGACAGCTGACTAACACCCAGGTACCTATTTTACTGCTAGGTAACAGGGGCATAGGGTGAAAGAAACTCTGCCCATTGTTTCTCGCCGGCGCCTGGGATCGAACCCAGGACCACAGGATCACAAGTCCAGCGTGCTGTCCGCTCGGCCGACCGGCTCCATGTTATACATTATACATTTGTTTTACACTGATGGGGGTATAATCCAAGGGGGAATATAGTGAACAGTTTTATCAGGATTAAGAGACACATTCAGTTTCAGAATATTATAGGCACAACAACTGAGCCACACACTGTAGGGAGCTTTTTGCGGCGGATTGAGGGAAGTCAGAATTGTTTAGTATGGATCTCAATTTAATTTGAATAGAGCTGGGGGACCATTATTTTTCAAAGTTTTGGCGCAAAATATAGTACTAAGTAGAACTATTCTTTCGTAAATGGAAGGTAAGTTTAATTCTTTTCTCATGTTAACAATTCTGACAGTTCTAAGACAACCCAGAATGATGCGCATGGCATCATTCTGTACTACATCTAGGCCTTGTAATTGTTTAGGAGAAAAATTAAGAAGATGCTGCGGTAGTTTGATGCGTGAGGCTCCATCCTCAGACATTTTATTACATGAATTTCGGTGCGATTTATGGAGCGAGTTCATGTTCTTTTGGACATACACGTTTTCTATGTGCATGTCCAGAGGCTACATAATAAACTCATTTATACTTCCTAAGTCCGGAAATCACACATTAGTTGCTGTTCCATCATCGCCGCCCCCCTTGTTATTCCTTTCAGTCGGGCTCACTCCTGCTTTGCTGCCATCTGGTTATCTCGCTAAGAGGCAGAGTGGAGGGCAGCTCCACATGTGGCTGGACTAGGCACGGTGGAGGGCAGCTCTACCCGTGGCTCAATGAGGCAGGGTGGAGGGCAGCTCCACCTGTGACTGGAAGAGGTAGGGTGGAGGGCAGCTCCACCTGTGGCAGGACGAGGGAGGGTGGAGGGCAGTTCTAATTCCATTAAATTAGTGAGTGAGTGATCAATTGAGTCGAGAACTGAGTTGTTCAACTCGGTTTCAGTTCAAAAAATTATCTTTTTTTGTCTAGCAGTCGTTTTAGCGGTTGTATTTAGTTATTGGCATGCAAAATATATGTTCAAATTAGATATTTTTTGTTCTAGGCGCAACCTTTTGTGTACAGTGATAGATACAATGTGTATCACAAATGGCTACAGTTATGGAGGGAGAATGGGGTGTGTGCGAGGGGGGGGAGGTGAGGGTGTGAAGATGATTACTGATGAAGATAGTGTGTACTGAAGATAGTTACAGCGATGGGGGTTCCTCCATTGCTGTAACTATCAAAAGAACGTACTGTCCTGTTTTCTGTTTTGGGTCCTCTGGTAGGTTAGCAGCAGCTCGTGCAGCACCAGCTTATATGAGTGACCTTATTATGTTCCTCTGGAACCTTCTTTCACTACCGCTTACAGGATACGAATGGTGTGCATAATAAACTAAATGTAACCCTGAACAGTTATCGCGCATGCGCAGTGTCGCGGGTGAGACTGGAGGCAACATAGACCGGACCCTGCCACAATACATCGAGACGGCCAGCCAGGCAGGTCGCCTGCCACTCCACTCACGCATTATTATAATCTTGAAGTTCTGACCAAGTTTCGAAGTATACACCATTCACCTCATCAAGGGAAAAGTCACTGACTTCTGTCATTCAAGGGCCATTCTGTCACTCAAGTAATTCTTCACAAACATAGTTGTTGATGGACATGAAGTAAAGCTTATGAAGAAGCTATGAAGTTAACGTTAGTTTTGACATGCTGGTCATTGCTACAGGTCCAAGTATGGTCTTGGGGAGGATGGACTTGGGGAGGATGGACTTGGGGAGGGTGGTCTGGGGGAGGTGGATCGTCGACCTGTACTGCGAACATGACGTGGGATAGTGTTTTGAACAGCTGCGTCGCCGCAAGCCTTACAGGTGAGTTGGTGCAACCAGCGATCTAATGAGTGTTCATTTGTGTGTAAAATTAGCAAGTGCTAGTTACTGCCCGGCTCCTGAGCCAGGTAAGTTCACTACGGGCTCACCATAGCCCGTGCTACTTGCCCCGCTCCTGAGCCAGGTAAGTTCACTACGGGCTCACCATAGCCCGTGCTACTTGCCCAGCTCCTGAGCCAGGTAAGTTCACTACGGGCTCACCATAGCCCGTGCTACTTGCCCCGCTCCTGAGCCAGGTAAGTTCACTACGGGCTCACCATAGCCCGTGCTACTTGCCCCGCTCCTGAGCCAGGTAAGTTCACTACGGGCTCACCATAGCCCGTGCTACTTGCCCCGCTCCTGAGCCAGGTAAGTTCACTACGGACTCACCATAGCCTGTGCTACTTGCCTTGCTCCTGTGCCAGGTAAGTCCACTACGGACTCACCATAGCCTGTGCTACTTGCCTTGCTCCTGTGCCAGGTAAGTCCACTACGGACTCACCATAGCCCGTGCTACTTGCCCCGCTCCTGTGTCAGGTAAGTCCACTACGGGCTCGCCATAGCCCGTGCTACTTGCCCCGCTCCTGTGCCAGGTAAGTCCACTACGGGCTCGCCATAGCCCGTGCTACTTGCAACTTTTTGTTCCGAGTAGCTGAACCTAAAACAAAAACAACAACAGCAGCAGCAGCAAGTGCTCAATAGTTAGTGGTCACTAGTCGGTGTTCTCTAGTTGGCCGTCGCTAGTGGATGTTCTCTAGTCAAGATTCAAGATGGTTATTCCTAGAGGCTGTTCTCTACTAGGCCGTCGCTAGATGTTCTCTATATTTGGAATAATTTTTTTCAGGCGTGTTATTAGATGGAAAGGGTTAGTGTCACTAATTCTAACACGAATCGTTTCTACTTTTATCCTGATCGTCACTTGAGAAGGAAGTTGAACCAAATTAGCTCTCCAAATATTTTACAACTGTATTGGGTCTAAGGCGAGTAACTGAATGACCCGTTTTATTGAAGCTCGTGGCGTCGCCAGAAGCAGAGAGGAAGTGTATACACAGCAAAAATCTGCATAGGAGGTCGCCTTTCTTTTAAGGATCTCTTCGATATAACTGTTGGAGTATCCAGTGTTTATTACCTTACTCTACCGAGTTCCGCGTCAACCGTTTCCAAATGGAGCTGTATGGGAGAGTTCGGATGACGTAGGCGTTAAAATCACGTTATTGACCTCACTACTAGCATTAAGGCACTTTTTGAGTTCCTGAATCTTAAACCATGATCATCTTGCAGACAAAGTTTAAAGAAACTTTCATGCAAAGTTCCGTGTTTAGTTTCACCTATGACATGAAGACTTAGTTTAGTTCATTTATCATGCGCCCCATACCCATCTTGTGGGCGGTAGTGGAAAGGGTTACAGAGGCACCTAATGGGCTCAGGGACTGAACACCACAATTCATTTAGTTAAGCAAGTTACAATCTTGATGAGCTAGTTACAAAATTCAATATAAGTCGTCACATCATAAATGAGTTCGAGATCGACCATCAGAACAGTTTCTAAATTAAGCAACTGACATATGTGGAGAGCTAGTGTCACAATTGATATGTTTGTCCTGCACACCGCCCCCCATCCAGTGGGCAGCGGTGGATAGGTTACAATCACTCGGTTACTACGTACAGTTAGCAAACTGGGGGATATTTGGCTAAAATTTCTGGTAGCAGATCATTTTGAATGAAATATTTTGTTTGATCATTTTGAAACTGTTCTGATGGTCGATCTCGGACACATTGCTGGAACATTGGTTATAGAATTGTCTCTGAATTTACGTATCTTTTCGCACTCCATCACATAGTGACGGAGGGTGTGCGAATAATTTTGTTGACACAGTTTACATTTGGTCAGGTCTACATCAGTAGATAATGAGAATTCCCAGAGATACTTGTAACCGAGTCTAAGCCGAGCAGCAGTAACATCTAGAAGTCTGCTGATTTTATTGGATGATCCATAGATGTGTGGCTCCTCTTGCATGATAGTATGATAGATAAAATTAATGGTGTCGATTTCACTTTGCCTCAGATCTACAAGATTTTGTTGACGTTCTTGGCGTACTTTTGCTCTCAGACTGCTTATTGACAATCCAAGGTTATACCCAATTCCTCCTCTAAAGGCAGATTCTTTGGTTCACTCATCAGCTCTATCATGCATTTGGAAGCCAACATGAGATGGAATCCACATGAAATAGACTATTACTGTCATTAATAATTTTGTTAGTGAGGCAAAAAGTAAGAACAAGAAGAAAGGTACGGAAAGAGAAAGGGGGGAGATAGGCTCACGTCAGGTCACGTTTGTTAGGAAGGTATGTGAAAGCATTTGAATATGTACAGTGAATGGGAAGAGTCAACATCAGCAAAGCCAGGACTAAGGTTCATGTTGGGTAGGTTGTGTATCAGAGCCGATTCAACAAGACGGCATCTGTGAAGAGTAGTGGCAGGAAAGATTATTTTAGAAGAAGACCAATCAATAGGAACAAATTCAATTTATATTGAGTTGTCTTCTAAAATAATCTTTACCAAAAATAATCTAAAGTAAACCTTTCCTTTCCAAAATAATCTAGACCTCCAACCATAACAATAAGCTCGGAATGTCCTAAGTTTCCGGCGAAAAGTCACGTAGGTAACAATGATGTTATACATTCATAATAATACAGTGGTGGACAATTTCCACATCAGTTACCAATGAAAGGTGGAAGGGGAGACTGCCACGTAATACACAAGGCCAAGTCGTCACTCGTCGACACTTTCTATGAGACAAGTCGTCTAGCGATTTTTTTGATAAATAATATTTTATAAAGTATGAACGTTCGAATTTTCTTGGAACGAAGAATATAATGCAAGTAATAACAATGAATGTTACTAAAGTGGTTGCGGCTAAACAGTGTTGCATGCCGTTTCTTGGGCAGGCTTTCATTAATGGTTCTAATAGGCAGTTATGCCTAGTATGCTGGGTACGACAAAATTGTAAGTGTCCAGTGTTTGTGTATGATTATGAACCCATTTTGGTAGCATGGTAAGTTTGTCGCAGTGTTTCGTGAGTTCCTCTGCGGAACACACACATGCAGACAAAAATTTTTAAATTTATCTTTTGGTTTTAGTCGAAATTGATTACATACAATGTTTACAAAATTCTTTTACAAAAAGTACTTAGTAGTATTTCCTGATGGCTGTCTTTCAATGGTTCCATATATTTCATCTAGACTGAAACCTTAATGTTTAAGCAAACTTTACTGGCATAAACTAATGTCAATAAACTTCTGTTTTTTCGGCTACATCATCGAACACGGACTCAACAGCTACCACCACGACCCCAGCACCTGTGACATTCACTGATCCACTTCTGGTCCTGTACAACCGCTGGGACTCACAGGTCCAAGTGTGGTATTGCAACAGCTTGAGCTATGGTGTGGAGAACAATACCAGGATGGTGATGGCCCTCCCAGGAGACCCCATGTGGAACACCCCCGGTAGCTGTAGCAGTGAGTATCACCAGCCTTGTGCAACCCCAGTAACTGTAGTGGTGAGTAACGGCAACCTGAGACAACCCCGGTAACCATAGTATGAATATTACCCGGCATGGGACTATCCTGGTTACCATAGGGGGTATATAACACCAATCTCAAACAGCCCTACAGACTTGCGTTAAACTACTGATGCAGTAGTTCTGAGACACCGGGGTTTGAGCATTTCCGTGGGCTCATGGTAAGCCTTACCCACTAGTTTCCCTGGTATACGACCCACGAGTCGTTTAACAACCAGGTATCGAATCACTGCTGGGTGAAAAAATGTATACAGTTATGGACTGGCGCCTAGTAAATCCTCCCCAGTCTTTCTCTCGGTTTAGCTGCAGATTTAGACAGAAAAATGGATAATGAAGTGGAACGTATGTAAATGTATACTCATAAGTTTGAACAAAGATAGTAGTGACAAATTTCGGCTTAATGATGTAGATATTGAAAATTAAATTGAGAGATTTATGGGTAATTGTCAGCAATCGCCTAAAATCTAGTGGAAATTTAATCAATGCTTGAAATAAGCAAATAGGATACTTGGTTTTATATCTAAAGTAATAGCACTAGATCCTTCAATTATATCTTGCTCTTGAAAAAAGGTCTGTTACGGGCGTACTAGTGCTTGCTCTGTGAGAGCCAATAGCTAAGGTCAAGGAGTTCCTAAAATAGTGGAGTTAGGTTAGGCCTAGGTTAATACTCTCCGAGGCACAAACCAGGGTTTTACACAACTCCCCCCATGCAGGGGGAGTTGAAGAGGGAGAACGGCCTATTGACACAGATCGAGTGCATGGGGGGAGTTGTGTAAAACCCTGGTTTGCGTCTCGGAGAGGCTGCAGGATCCAGTAAGTTCAGTAGAACTTCGGTTTCAACTCCTTTTGACGATGTCGTTGCTCAGTCGATTAAGGCAGCGTCTGGGATGCTCTCTGACGCAGGTTCAAATCCTCGTCACGGTCCTTGTGGATTGTTCAAGAGACTCAACTTCAGCACCCACATACAACACACAACTAAAAAGGTTTCTAAATCAGTTGGTACACTCTCTAAGATCAGATATTATGTATCCTACTCTGCTCTCCTCTCTCTCATGCACTTATCTATCCCTATCTTACTTATGGTATCTGTGCTTGGGATTCAACCTCTGCAAACTACCTCAAGCCCATCATCAACCAGCAAAAATCTGCTATGAGGACAATAACTAACTTTGCTTTCAGACAACACACAGCTCCCCTGTTTAAATCCTTAAACATGCTAAACATAAATTCACTCCATACATTCTCTTGTATCAATTACATTTATAAAACTTTTTTTTTTAAGTGCAAACCCTGTTCTGAAACTCTTCCTGGACTGATGTAAGAGATCACATGCCCACCACACCAGACATAAATATCTCTT